TTGAGTCTCAGAGGGTGTGAAACCAATTACAGGCTGATTAGTGGATGATTAGGCTCAGGTGTGCAGTGCTGTTCTGAAGAGGTTGATTGTCTGAATATGAAGTTAAAAACGCTTCACTGCTCAGACTGATGTGTTGTCTAGTGGGTCAGACAGGAGGACAGTTTGCATTCTGAACCATTTTGCTGGTTTTTTTGGTGCTATGAAGACCTTGTGTTTTTGGGTTAGCCTCCTGGTTGGAATCTGTTTCAGGTCATCTTTTGCGTTTCCTTTCAAAGATTCAACACAACATGGTTTACTTCAAAGTCTTCAGACCACAGGGAGCTCCCAACGCACTCCGCAACAAAAGGCTCCAGCCGAGGAACGAGAGCAGGTGAATACTGTCCAATTGACCTGCCATCCAGACTCGTTGGAGATTATTATCAAAGCTGACCTGTTTGGAGTTGGAGCTCCTGTAAATAGTGACGAATTACGCCTTGGAGTGGAGCACGATGATTACTGTAGAGCTACAACGTCTTCAGGAGATGAGTACAGAATCCTTGTTGGACTCGTGGACTGCGGCACCAAACATTGGGTAATGATGGATTTATTTTAATTCATTATACCCTAGACTAGTTTTAAACTCATGTACTCTCCACAGATGACTGAAGACGCTCTGGTCTACACAAACCTTCTCATATACTCTCCTGTGGCCTCTCCATACGGGGTGGTTCGAATGGATGAGGCTGTGATTCCACTTGAGTGTCATTATAAAAGGTCTGTCTTTTAAAGTACATATTTTTAAAGCTCTCCAGACACTGTCTCACTGTTTTGGAAATGTTTTTTTGTTTCTTAGGAAGTACAGTTTGTCCAGTATTTCACTCATGCCCACCTGGATCCCCTTCATGTCTAACCAAGCTGTAGAGGCAACTTTGGCATTTGACTTGAGAATCATGACTAGTAGGTTTCCTTCATTTCTCATGTTGTGTTTTGACTTATTTGCCATCAGTATTTATATATTTTATTATTTTTGTGCAGATGACTGGCGTTATCGAAGAAGCTCTAATGTGTTTTACATCGGTGAGCCCATCAACATCGAAGCCTCGGTCAGAGCTGGTCATCACATGGGGCTCCGAGTGTTTGTGAGCAGCTGTGTGGCTACACTTACCCCCGATATACACTCTGTTCCCAGATACGTCTTTGTTGAAAATGGGTAAGCACTTGGAAGGCTGCAACTTCATGGTGAATCAAAGGGGAACCTAGAAAACATGAGATTACATATTTGTTTGCTTACAGTTTTTAAGCATTGTGTTAAGCCTTTTGTCTGCTAAATTATCTCAAGTGATGTCTGGTCTGAAGACTAGAAAATGAGAAATCTGGGTGTGTGGCGTTGGAAAGTAATGCGTTTACCAGATGACTTTAGACTGGAGTGAAGTTTGTTTTTGACTTGTCTTCTAGGCTTCTAAAAATGGCATTGATTCACTAAGTCACATTCTGGTCTTAACTCAACCACACAACTGCATTGAAGGGAAGATTAGCCACTACTAGCACAACTCTAAAATCCTCCCCCTTCATAGGTGCTTGGTTGACTCTGAGCTTCCAGGTTCTAGGGCCCACTTCTTATCCAGGACACAGGATGACAAGCTCCAGTTGAACATTGATGCCTTTAGGTTTCATAATGAGGACCA